TCTGTGCTGAGCTGGTGGTGTGGAGCCTGGGGTCCTGACCTCTCTGGAAAGATGTCTCTTTCCAACCCAGGACTGGAACATGACAGGAGAAGAGAGCAAAGAGTGGAAATGCCAGACGAACCCCTAAGGGCAGCAATGTGCAGGGGGTGTGAGGAGGTGGGGAGTCCTAATAGAGGGGAAGTAAAGAAAAACTCCGGAGAGAAGGAAGGAGCAAGGTTCCAGGTCTGAACGGAGATTCTGCAAACTGTTGACCCCCACAGGTGCTGAGGAGGAGGAGGCTGCAGGGTGCTGGGCAGGAAGACTTCTAGAAGTTTTGGGATAGGTCTATGGGGAAGGACAAGGCCAGCTCAGGTGAGAATGAGGCCTGTCTGCGGTCGGTCACCTCCCTCTAGTTCACTGGAACGAAGAGGTATGAGTGTCCATCCTGGATCACTGACTGTGGCACAGTGTTAATCAGGGAGGTCTGAACAGGGACAAGGGATAACTCAGGGCAAAGCAATTGTCTGCACAGCAGGCAGCCCTTGGTTCAAGATGCTGTCACCTGCTGACCTCTTCGTTCATAAGGACCACATGTTTGCAGCTGCTGTCCTGTTCATGCTCCAGGGACTGTGGATCTCTGGACTCCCACTTCTTTACCTTTCAGTGGGCTGGATCCTCTCTTCAGGCTCCTTCTGTGTGAACCTTGAAGGATTGAGAAAATGGAGAGAGAGAGGGGAGGAAGAGGAGAGACAGAGGGGCAGTTTATCCCCTGGCCCAGAGCGTTTGGTGAACAGAAGCTCCTCATCATCAATGTGGACTCCACGGTGACTCCGTCTCCAATTGGTGTGGTTTTTTTGGCATGATGAATTACTGTCATTTCTCCCTGTCTATAGCATGGAAGGACACAGTTTAAATTAATACCTCCAAACTGTGAGTCAGATTGTTCAGGAAGCAGCCAGGGGCAGTGTCACATGTCTGTAATCCCATGGGTTTGAGGGGCTGAGGCAGGAGGATCCTGAGTTCAAAGCCAGCCTCAGCAATTTAGTGAGGCCCTAAGCAACTTGGTGAGACCCTGTCTCTAATTAAAATATCTAAAAAGGCTGAGGATGTGGCTCAGTGGCTAAGTACCTCTGGGTTCAGTGTTCCATACAATAAAAAAAAAAAAAAGAATTGCTCAGTAAGCTTGTTAGAGAAACACATCATCCCTAGTTTCTGTTCCCAGAGGATCTCACGTGGGAGTTCTCAGGGAGAAGCATGAAGTTTTGCTTTTGCCCAACCCTGCTCCACCTTCACCTCCACAGGGTCTGCTGAGCAGCCGGCTCCTTGAATCTGGCTCTTCTAGTTGAGTCTGAAGGAGTTTCCAGCTGCAGACATCCATGACATTAATGCCACCACCTCACCTGGGGACTAGAGGGGAAGGTGCTGGTCTTAAGTAGAGGTGAAAGGCAGGTGTGGAGACAGGGAGGGGCGTGGCCTAGCAGGAAGAAAGTGTAGGATGAAGGAAGTAGGTGACACTATCGAGTGCATATCTCCAGGAGAATCCAGGGTGTGGCCTTTCATGTTTAGGGTGCTTATTGCACACTCCTAGGCAGCAGGGGGTATAGCTCAGGGGTAGAGCATTTGACTGTAGATCAAGAGGTCCCTGGTTCAAATCCAGGTGCCCCCTTGTTGGAGGCTCTTTTACATGCCAGAGAGGAAAACTTCTAAAGCCCTGAAGAACAAGGTGTCACATAGTGACCATGTCATCCGTCTTAGCTCTTACCCCTAGTGGTGTCCCAGGCATCATCCCCTGGCCCAGAGCGTTTGGTGAACAGAGCCCTTCCTCATCATGTGCACTCCATTATGACTCCGTCTCCAATCACATGTGGGGTTTTTGGGCACACAACCACAGTGTGCTCACTTGTGCTCTGGGTTCTGCTCTGGCCACATCTGTGTCCTCCTCTCCAGAAGGGGACAGCAGAGGGCAGGCTGAGAGGCTCCTCCAGGGCATGGCTGGTCATGCTGTGTCACAGACTGTCCTCCAAGGCAGTGACCAGGAGGCTCCCTGGTTGCATGGACATCCAGCCTTATAAGAGGTCTGTGGGGTTGAGGAGCCCAGCTTCTTCCTCAGGCAACTCTTCTTTGTCACCTCTGTGAGAAGCCCCTGCTGACCCCCAGGGGGTCCTGCCACATCAGTGGAAATATTTTGTTCCTGGGTTTTTCCTCCTGTTTTTACTAAGACTTTTTGAGGAACAAGGACAATGTCTTCCCTGTTTCTGTGACCTCAACATGGATGACAGATCAGGCACTTACCAAACTCCATGAGGGTTTGTTTGGGGAGGTTCTCCCTGGGCTGTGTGGGGTCCACTAAAGACCCCGTGTCACTGGCTCTTGTCTGGTGACTGTGTGTTAGAGAAGCACTGGAGTCCATTCCAGGTGCTCTCAGCAGTCTGAGGTGGGATGGGACCAGTTAAGGTTGGAGATGAAAGAAGGGAGGGCAGACTTCAGTGGCGAAAGCTGGCAGTTTGCTGGAACATGCAGAGTGGCCAGGTGTGGTGCTGAGGATGAAAAGGTGCTAATGAGGGGCTCTACATGAGTGGGGGTGTAGCTCAGGGGTAGAGCATTTGACTGCAGATCAAGAGGTCCCTGGTTCAAATCCAGGTGCCCCCTTGTTTATGCACTACTTTGGTAGCTCACTTACCAGTACCTCTTAGGTGGGCCCCATGTGACATTGGAAGACCTCCATCATAAGACCTTCTTCTCAGATCTGCACGATTTTAGGCCACATTGATGTTAATTTTATATCTAGGGCCTTCCTCCAACCCCAATATCATCATCACCCAAGAGCCCAAAGGCCAACTTGACTTGGAGTCCCCAACTTCATGAGTACAGTGCACACACAGTAGGTCTCAGAAGCCACCTAGAGTGCCCTTCCCACCTCCCTGTGCCTCTCTTTCACCCCTGAACACCCCACCTTCATCCTATGGTCACAGTCAAGGAGAAATGGCACTTGGTTTAGCCCAAAGCTGGCCACTGGGTGATGAGACATGTTTCTGCATTCCCAGATCGCTAATTGTCAGGCTTAGGTTGGGGGGTGAGGGTGAGACTGTGCTAACAAGGACAAGCACAACCAGGAGGTGAAGACACCTGTGGATGTCAGGAGGTTTCTCAGTTACAGTCACTGATCACTGAAAGTCATATGCTGAGCAGGTGCAAGCAGTGTGCTGTACTCAGGATTCGAGGACGAGTTGCACCTTGCCCACATCTGGCAGCAAAATAGGAAGACCTTCAAAGTTTCCTTGGGGTATCTGATTTTGATTCCAAGCAGAACCTCCAGGATGGTTGCCGGGTGAATGAGTCTGATCACCTCTGATAAGCTGACCAATATCCAGAGTCTCAGTTTTCGAACCAGTAAAATGGGAGCTGATTAAGTGGAGCTCAGTTTATGAATCAGTATGATGGCTTCGGGGAACTGTGTGCCTGCTCAGGGTCTCAGCTTCCAGGATGCAGCTTGAAGTTTCCTTCCTCTGGTAATAGTATGCTGTGTGTGTGTGTGTGTGTGTGTGTGTGTGTG